GACGCTAATTATGTTTATGATTATGATTATGCTGATGCTGAGGATGGTGATGACGATGATGATGCTGATGATGATGCTGATGATGATGATGCTGATGCTGATGATGATGATGATGATTATGCTGCTTATGCTGATGATACTGTTGATGCCGCCGACGATGATGATGATGCTCATGATGCTGATGATGATGTTGATGTTGATGCTGTTGCTGCTGATGATGCTGATGATGCTGATTAGATTGATGATGATAGTGATGATGATGCTGATGATGATGATGATGCTGATGTCGATGATGATTATGATGCTGATGATGCTGATGCTGATGCTGATGATGCTGGTGTTGATGCTGATGATGGTGATGATGCTGCTGCTGATGATGATGATGATACTGATGATGATGATGCTGATGATGATGATGATGATGATGATGATGATGAGGATGAGGATGATGATGATGATGATGATGATGATGAGAATGAGGTTGAGGCTTGAGGAGGATCAGGAGTAGGAGGAGGGGAGGAGCAGCAGGAGGAGGAGCATGGTAGGAGCAGGAGGAGGAGGAGGCGGAGGTTAAGAGCAGAGGAGGTGCAGAGGAGGCGAGGAGGAGGTGGTGGGGAGGAGGTCAGGCGCTGATGATGATGTGAGGAGGAGGAGAGGAGGAGGAGGAGGAGGAGGAGGAGGAGGAGGAGGAGGAGGAGGAGGAGGAGGAGGAGGAGGAGGAGGATGAGGAGCAGGATGAGGAGCAGGATGAGGATGATGACGAGAAGGAAGTAGGGGAAGTAGTAGTAGGAGGAATGAGGAGCAGGAGGAGGAGGAGGAGGAGGAGGAGGAGGAGGATGAGGAGGAGGAGGAGGAGCAGAAGGGGCAAGGGCGGGGGGAAATGTGGTCCAGGTCTTCCGGGAAGGAGTCCGTGTGGGAAGGAGTCGCGACGTTGGCCGCAGAGGCCGTCGCCGAGCGGCTTGGGGTGCGGAGCCTGTCCCCGGGAGGGGTCGGGGCCTCGGGGGGGTCGACGACGACGAATGACGACGGCGCCGTCGACGACGACGACGACGAATGATGACGACGACGACGAAGAAGGCGACTACGGACGACGACGACGACGGACGACGAACGACGGACGACGGTCGACGGACGACGACGATGACGACGGATGATGGCGACGACGGACGACGGTCGATGGACGACGGACGACGGGCGACGGACGACGGGCGACGGACGAGGGACGACGGACGACGGACAACGACGACGGGCGACGGACGACGACGACGACGACAACCTCGACGTCGGCGACGGACGACGGACCACGGACGACGGACGACGGACGACGGACGACGACGACGACGACCACGATCATGACGACGACGGCACGGTGACGGACGATGGACGATGGACGACGACGACGATGACGATGTTGACGACGACCACGGCCGTGACCATGACTAAGATCACGACCACGACGACGACGACGGACGGACCACGACGACGACGACGGCCGACGGCGGGGGGGGCGTCGGCGGCGGCGGGCGTCGAAGAGGGTGGTGGTGACTAGGGCCGTGTGGATATCATAGGCAAGGCCGTGGTATCTGACCGGATATCATTGTCCCTTGTGCTTCTTCTGCCCTAAGCATGTCCCCTGCCCTCTCCCGTGTCCGCGCACGTGCTTCGGGCCACGATCTGCGAAGCCCCGTCTTGGACGCCCCCCTCTTGGACGCCCCCGAATGGTCGAGTGTGCGAAGAAGACAGGGCGTCGGAGCTCTGGGTCCTGCCGGCGCGTCGGGTTTGCCCAGCCGATTCTGAGCTTCGGGAGGGCCCCTCTCAAAGCGTCGTGTGCCGCCAGCTCCAGCGAGATCGGATTCAGGAGGAGAAGAAACACAGACACAATGAATCGCCCACTCCCCAGAAAATGTGGGAAAATATGGGCAGCGGGGGGGAAGACAGAAACCCAGAAAACATGAGAAGACATGGAGAATATTTTTTAATTTGTGCGTATTTATTTGTGTGTCCTGGGGCCCCTTCACCCGGCTGCAGTCCCGCGCCGTGTTTCACCTTCGCCGGCGCCTGCACCTGCTCGAGGTCCGCCGATCCACCTGCCCTCCGCGGGTGCCCTGCAGGGTGCTGACGGTGCCGGTGCTTGTGCCTGCGGAGCAGGACGCCGTCCAAGTTTACCAGCCTGGAACAAATCCCTATCCCTATGATTCGGGGGTGGACAGAACCCCCAACAGTGACACGTCGATTAGTGAATTGTCCGTTTTCGGTTCTCGAGAGGGCGCCGTGGCCGTTATTTTCCAGGCTTGCGCCCGCCAGGTTTGGGCCTCAGGTCGTTTTCACTAAACCACGTTTTACTAAAGGGGGTTCTGTCCATCCCCGAATGATGGGCATCTCCTCATCACGATGCCAATCGTAGGGATTCCCTTATCTTTTGGAGGGCGAATCCCTGAGATTGTCATCGCCTCTTGGCGTGTCAATCTTAGGGATAGGGATGCGTTCGAGGCTGGTAACAAGTATCACCGAGCTGCCGATTTCGGGCATCATTCGTAGCCTCACGGCCTGTCCGCCCACCCGCCACAACGCCCACGGAATAGCCAGATTTCGTTCGACACGCGTGCAGTCCACCAGCCCATCGCGAAGCATCACGACTGGTGCCCTAGAACCCATCTTTCTGCGGCACGTTTTCGGGCCAGATCGATCTGTGATGGTTCCGGGGCCCGAAGCTTGGCGAAAACGCCGGGTGTGAAACATTGTGTCAAGCCCAGTGCCATGGAGGTGGAGTTTCTTTGTAGCGGTTCGGGGCACTGAGCACGGAGGGTGAGGTTTTGGGCGGCGGCTGCCATGAGGAGCTCTGCAACGCCCTTTCGTAGGACCGAGCGCGCCAACGTTCCTCTTTCGTCGTTGGCATGCCGCCGCCGATTCAGCTCGCGTAGGCCTTCCGAATGTAATTTCCGAGTCTGATGTGCCGGCGCGCCTCGCTCATATGGACATAGCCGGGCGGCCTTGTACGGCGCGCCAACCACGGCGCGTGCCGAGATCGCGGAGCCCAGCAACATGTCGAGGGGTGCAGGCAAGGAGGTCCGACGCATGGTCGAAGGGCGTGGCAGAACTCACGGCACGACTGGCACTGCACACTGTTCGCTCGTTGTTGCGTTCACCGGTGATCCCGCTCCGTCCAGGCCGCAAGTGGTTCCGTCCGCGATGCTTCGAGCTGCCACTGTTCTTGGGTGGGTGTTTTGGTCTTGGGCGACTTGCTGCGATCATTAGTCACAGCTATGTCGGGGGGCATGGAGATGGAGGGGGCTCGCCAGCTCGCCGCGCTCGGAACCTCATGCCCTTCGCTTGTGGCCGAGATGCCCCGAACCACCCATGTGGGCTGCAGCAACACAGCCTGTGGACCCCACGTGTCGCCATGAAGGAGTCGTGGCCTGATGGAAAGGGAACCGGAGGTTCTTCAGTGCTTTTTGCTTCTCTGGGCCCTTCCTGGGCCCCAGGACCGTCATGTAAGGACCCAGGATGACGAGGTGGTCCTGGGGGAAAGCCGCGGGGCACAAGACGCGTTTCCCATTCATATTTTTGCTCCCGTCTTCGTGTTTGAAGCACGCTGACTCAGTTGAAGAACAATTAGTCATCATGATGCTTAGATCGAGTACCTATTTTTGAAGCTCGAGCACGTCTTCCATACATAAAGTCCTGATTCTAGCGTGGACTGCAAACATTGAATTGCAACATGTGGGATGCAACCTATTTTCTGCCATTTACGAACCGAGTCAGGACCTTCACACATCAAATCTCAGAAGAAAAACATGATTACAGCGGACCCGAAACACCGACATTTTGTACATGGGGTGCACGCTGTTCAACCCATGTTATTGCCACGGCTATTCCTGTTATTTGGGCCCCCCTTGAACAGCCTGATGCCTCTCCTGCGTCTCTTTTCTCTCCTTCCCTTCTTCTTCCGCAACCGCGGGGCTGCAGAGCCACTTCCCTTGTTACGGAGGGGCTTTCACAAATCTCACCTCATCTCGCGGGCCCCGGGACGCGCGTGGTGGGCCCCGGGGCGGGCGGGCTGGTGCGGCTGCTCTTGCTGGCGCAGGCAGCTGTGGAGCCCCCGCCCCGGGCGCTTGGCAAGGGAGCGCCAGTGGGCGCCATGGCTGGCGTGGCAGCGGGTGCCGCCGTGGGGGGCGTGGCCTGGTGACCCGGCCGCCGCCCGAGCGGGCCCGGTTCGGACCCCGCCAGCCCCGAGCCCCACGCGGGGGTGCCGGAGGAAGGGCGGAGGAGCCGAGCCAGGCCAACCTCCCCAGACCTCCTCGCGTCGTGAAAAAATCACGACGGGAAGTTTTTCGCTATTTTCGGCCTCCGGGGGCCCTTGCCGGGCCTCGGGACTGTCAAAAAACGACTCAGGACGAAAAACCAGTCCCGGGGAATGGGTCAGGACCTCTGGGGGTCGCGTCATGAAAAAATTATGACGTCGGGGGTCTGGGTCCTTGGGAAGGGTCAGCCCAGGGAGGTATTGGGGCAGGGAGACATCTCTCGGGCCCAGGGCCAACAAGCGCACGGCGCCCTGGGGCAGGAGGCCCCGCTGGGAGTCCCGTGCGATCCCCCCCCCCCCGTGGGTTACGAGGGTGAAGGGGAGGAGGAGGGAGAGGGGGAGGGGGAGGGGCCCGATGAGGGGGATCCCAACAATTTCCAGACCATCGCGGGAGGGCTCGTGGAGGCGGTCTGGGAAACGGTGCGCGCGTAGCCGCGGCGGGGAGGCCCCCGCCCGGAATGGCCAGGGCGCCCCAAGGATCACCCCCAGGAGGGGCCCGTCGGCCTGGGGATCCCCCAGAACGGGGCGCCCCGCCCAGCTCCAGCGGCTGGTGGCCCAGGAGCTGGGGTGGGGGCGCGTGGGAGGGCTGGGCGCCCGCGGATTGGTCCCGGGGAGGTGGGGGCCCTGCTGGCGGTCGAGGGGGAGTCCAATGCCGCGGTTGGTGGAAGTTTGGCGCAATGGTTAGCTCGGGGAGTGGGCG